AGAGAGAGAGAGAGAGAGAGAGAGAGAGAGAGAGAGAGAGAGAGAGAGAGGGCACATGGAAAACACGTCCAAATTTTCAGGTGTTAAACCCGATCCTCTTTGCCAGTGGGACCTCGGCCCAGATGAGCGACGAAGGGAGGAAGGAGGCAGGTGGAGGAGGGAAAGGAGAGGGATGAAGGAGGAGGGAGGAAGAGGAGAGAGAGAGGTAAGGGAGGCAGCCAGAGGAGAGAGAGAGGTAAGGTATCAAGGGAAAGAAGGGAAGAAGACCAACGGAGCAGACAACGGACAGAGAGCGCTTCTCTCTCTCTCTCTCTCTCTCTCTCTCACACACACACACACACACACACACACACACACACACACATGACAGCGACGACTTCCTGCGTTATTGGACTGCCACAACGATGCTGCATACCCGCAGTCCTTCACCCACGCTGCCCATCACTTCCTGCGTTCTCGGAAGACCACGACGACGCTACACTCTGCGTGCATCGCCGCAGTCACACCCCCCAGTCGCATCAACACAGGCTTGAGCACGGATGTGGCTGCTACGGGGTTCCCCGTAATTCTATAATGACAATAAAAAAAGGCCTGAAAGGCCGTCCTGTCCAGATTCGACAGGTCCACAATTCCCTCCTGCGAGTATAATATGCCCTCTGGAAACCTTTTTCCTTCGTGACATGATGTCCATTCTGCATGGGCGAGCTCGATTGTGGCTTAAGGGGGCTAGGTCCCACTTACACGAATTACGAGTTATTGACCGTAGATAGCAAAGATCAACGGTCAGAATCTCGTAATCCGTGCAAGTGGGACCTTGCCCCCGCCGGGCAAAAAAAAAAAAAAAGAAACTGTCGTTGGAACGAAGGTCTGAATGTGATGTAGAAAACACGCACATACATGAACTTGAATAACCGTCAAAAAAGACCTTGGAGACTCACACTCCAGAACGGACGAGGGCGAGCCCAAAGGAAAAAATTTCCTGCGTGCCCGGTGTCCAAAAGACCATCTCCCGAAAAGGAAAGTGAACCGCAACCACCACCACCTAAACCGACCGCACTCACGTACCCACGGGCCTCCAACTTCTCGACCTCACGCACGACCGGTCCGTCTCCTGCCCCCAACCGCACCCTTCCCCTGCACCGCACGACGCCCTGTAAACCCCTCTAACTTGTCATCGACGTTTGCCGCTAGACGACAAAAGTTGTCACGGCAAAACGCAGCCTACTGGCTGCGAACACACACGCACATGCACGCGCGGGCACGCACCAGCAAAGGGGATTCGGGTGGAGGGAGAGAGGGCGACAGAGAGAGAGTGCTATGTTTGTCTGAGAGAGAGCCCCTCCGTGTTATTTTGTGTGTGTGGCTGAGCGTCTGCGGGTATGTGTATATGTGCGCGCGCGCGCGAGAGAGAGAGAGAGAGAGAGAGAGAGAGAGAGAGAGAGTCCTTTTCTGGGACAGATATGGAGCAGCTAAAGAAAAAGTTCGTGTGCAGCTTTCGGGTTTCCAAAGAGGAGAAAGAGGTGCCGGCATTGGTGAGGCGGGCGTTCGAGACCTTGTCTGGGGGCAAAGGAACCTTGTCCAAGGCTGAGTTCTTGGTGTTCTTGGAGTGTCTACAGGCGAACCCCAGTGGTGATGGAAATGATGTGCCTGGTACCGCAAACGCTGATGGCATTCCAAAGAGGCCCGATGGGGATATTGGAAAGGCGCATGACAATGCGCAGGAGCGTCTACGACCGGGTAGAGCGAAAACCAAGGACTTTCTCCAGGGCATGAAGGCGGCTGTGGACACCTTCACTCTGAAGAATGCGATGAAGTATCTTCTCAACCCTGCCGTGAACGCGGCACACGTCATTACCGAGGTACGACAGCAGCGACCATCCCGATGGGCACTTCCTCGGGTCGCAGCAAGTCATTTTCTCGGCCGTATACCTATCTCGGCCTTTTGGCTAAGATCAAGTGTATCATCTGTTCTGATCAGTGGTCCATCGGGCCACAAGGATGTTAAATTCATTTTTCGGGCCATGGAGGGGTCAAACGGGTAAGCTTGCTTGCTCGCCCCTTCCAGCGTTGCCTCAGTATTGCACTGCCGTAGGGGGGAAAAGACAAAAAAAAAAAGAAGAAATTATCGGCCGTCTGCCTACAAGTGCCTTTCTCTCGTAGCTTGCACTTCTTGCGTGAAAGGAAAAAGAATCCGAACCGGAAAAGCAAGAAGAACCCGAGTGACCGTCAGGACATTTCTTAAAATTGGGACAATACGGAGAAAATTAGCATGTCCCCTGCGCAAGGATGACACGCATAAATCGAGAAATGGCCCAAATGACGGAAAAAAGAAGAACCCGAGTACCACGGGCGGGGACTAGCTCAGTGGGTACACCCATGAGCTGTTGAAATACATACCTGAGTTCGAATTGAGATGGAACGTGATAACGGGAAAAAAAAGAAAAAAGAACCCGACTGGGTTACTTTTCCCGGTTGGCAGCCAATCATGCACAAGATTGGAGCTTGAGCAACTTCATTTGTTTCTTTTTTTAATGAAAGTATCAGTTTGGGATACGGTAGCCTTGCTCATATCGGGATTATAGCCCGTACCTGGTGAGGGTGCCGCTGTTTTGATGGCTCCGTTCTTATTCGAGGGGAGCGGCACGTACTGGGAATCCGGCCCAGCGTCCCATCTGTACAAAAGCATGAAAGATCATTTCAACACCATGCTTCTTCTCGGACTGCATTAATTGCCCTCCGGTCGGAAGGGATAACAGCCGGATTTTTACCGACTTTCGCTTTTCTTCGTTTCGTTTACGGAGCCGAATACTGACGTGGTGGTTGTCCTTCGGGAGTGGTTGTAATTGGAACTATCCAGAGAAGATTAGCACGGTCCCTGCCCAAGGATGACAGGCGTAAATCGAGAAATGGTCCCCCAAAATGAAAGTTATATAAAACAAATAGTGAATGGTCAGCATGGTTCACTGTTCGACCGAAAGCGAAGAAGGGGAAAAAAAGGAAAGCCCTTGGAAATCTGGTGCCTAAGTTGGCGAGAGACGAAAACACCATGGCGCACTGCAGTGTGCAGTTGCAAGGTCTGCACCTGACACTCTGTAGTGCCAATATATGCTCTGGCCAGTCTTTGTTTGTCTCCCTTTCGCCGATTAAGGCCCCAGTCCACCGCCTCCCCTTCGGCCCCAATCCCCCTCCACTCGACTCCCCTTCGGCCCCAGTCCCCCGCCCTCCCCTCGTTCGTCTTTTGAAGACAAAGATCGGTCTCCTCTGTGTCGGCAAAACCCTGAACGGTTGAAATACATACTTGAGTTCGAATTCCAAAGAGTAAACATAAGTCTGAATTTAGCAGCCGAGCAGTATAAAGATGATTTCGCAAGCTCGTCGCCCTTCAATAGAAAACAAAAAAGAAAAAGATACAAAATCTCCATTCTTAAGCACAAGAGTCGCCCCTCCTTACATTTTATCTCGTCGATCGATTGATTGTTCATCTATATGGTCGCTTCTGTTGGGAAGAGGTCTGGACAGTCAGATAGGCGCCATACGTAGGTGTGATTTGCCCATGCGCGAGTCTGGCCTAGATGTGTACCAGCTCTCTCTTTCCACTCACACGCATGCACACACGCGGGCGCGCGCTTGCGGCAATCCACAGGAAATGCAGCATGTGCATTCGTTCCATAGAAGATATGAACGCCCATACGCTCCCAGGAGAAGACAAATGTTTCTCCCTCGACCCTTCCCTACCTCTTCCTCGGACAATGAATCGATCAATGTTCCTTGTAAGCCCCCTCCTCCCCACTGTTCTTGTCATTCTCAGCAGAAATACATCCCCCAGTTACATTCCTTTCTCCCCTCGCGTTTTCTCCGCCCGAAGTCCTCTCTCGTCTTCAGTCCCTTCTCCCTCCTTTCTCTCTCTCGCGCGCAGTTAAATGCAAACCTGCAAGTGTTTGCGGCCGGCTATCAACCCGCCTCCCGCACTTTCTCCCCCAACCTTCCGCCTCCTCGATCTATCAATTTCGCATAAGAACCCTGCGCGGTCACTCCAATGTTATTGCAGCCATTACCGTCATTGTTATCATCGTCATTATTATCATCGTCGATCATCGTCGATCACGATCGGTCATCATCGATCATCATCACTAGTCATCTTTATCATTTTCATCATCGTCAGACCCACTCCTAATGAGAAGCAGTGCCGACAGAGGAGACCCAAATCGTCCTTGCAGGCAAAAAGAGGAGGGAGGGGGAGGAATGGGGGTGGGGGTGGGGGCTGGGGTGGGGGTGGGGAGAGAGAGAGAGAGAGAGAGAGAGAGAGAGAGAGAGAGAGAGAGAGAGAGAGAGAGAGAGAGAGACATTGCTGGCGGGTGAGCATACGTTTGTCAAATCGTCCCTGTTGTCAGAGAGAGAGAGAGAGAGAGGCATTGCTGGCGGGTGAGCATACGCTTGTCAAACCGTCTTGTCGACAGCGGGGCAAGCTGGTGCAATTCTCCATCCAGAAGCCGAGGAGATCATCCCATGATCACGGAGTTGATCTCTGGTGAGACCATGACGGTTTTCACAATCATACATCCAGCTCATCTATATTCCCTCTGACGGGGGCGGGGGAGGTATAGGCTGCCGGCATCAGGGCTGTTTCTATTTGGGAGCGTGGGTGTGCACGTGGTCAAGGAGAAACTAGACCGCGCGTGGAAGGGAGGGAGAGCTAACCATGTGCACTGGATGTGTCCGACGTTGTCCCTACTTCCAACGGGCACACACGCTGTAAACCGAAGCGACGGGCGTAACGCTGGTGGATGGCCACCCGTTCCAGCCCTCCATCCACCATACCCGCAATCGTGCTTCGGATAACGTACGAAATACGGTGAAAAGCTTCATCGTGCAAAGACGGTGTGAAAAGATACGAACGTGACGGATTTGCTGCGAAAAAAGATACACACACTCTATTTATGCGTGTCGTCCTTGCGCAGGGGCAATGCTAATCTTCTCGGCATCGTTCCAATCATAACGGATGTCCCAAAGGGCAAGATACGCATACTTGTTTTTTTTTTTTTGTGGAGATACGCATACTTACTCTCTGGGCCTCGCTCCACTATTGTCCGTTATACGAATATTTGGATGGTCAGTGCATACCTGTCAGACCGTCCCAAATCGTCAAGACGCCGTATCAGCAACAGGCCTACCTCAGTATTGCTGAAATGCACACCGAAGTTCGAATGCCTGGGGCCGGTCAATTCAAGCCTTATGCCAGCAACTGCGCATTCGGTTGCAGAATAAGTGGACGGCACTGCTTCAACGCAGTGGCTATACTCGGTCTGCATCAACAAAGCCAAACAAGATTGCAGTTGGGAACTGGTTTGGGGATCTTGGCAACTGGGACTTCCTATCACAACCATAGACCTACTACATCTAAGGCCTATGAACATCTCAATTTTCATAATATCGTCAATCTACATACATCCTCTAAGCATCAATGGTTATTGTGACTTGATGTGACACTCACCCAGGCTGAAGCACGGCTTCGCTGGCCCGACCGGTCCCACTGCCCTGTCCTGCAACAGTATAAGTCACAGGCGCTTGACCAGCCACGATAGCATGTGAGCCTTCCCGAGCTGCACCCCCAGACCCCGACCGCTCGCAACGGTCATTGCAAACGCAAACCTGCGCGCACGCCACACAAGGGTCAGGTCCTACAGAGATCGAGTCCTTTTTTCCTCACATTGATTTGGTGAAAGGACTCTCAGGTCGCAGTCCCTGGGGTATCGCTGTCAGTCAGTCACACCATCATCATCGTCATTCAAGTTGGTCAGCAGTCAGCAGTCTTCGGTCAGTTCTTCCCTGTCTGCCTATTCCCGCCCCGGTAAGTCCATCCTTTTCCACCCCCGCATTTCACCATGAACCTGTCTGCCTGCAGAATTGGAGACCAACCGCCTCCCCACCCTTCCCTTGTCGCCAACCCGACTCCCACCACCAACCTGCCAGACCCGCATCTTGGTCTTTTACGTCTTCTTTCCACTCCCTCGCTTCCATCAACCCACCGGTGTTTGATCCCTTCCTTCTTTCCTTCTTTCCCTCCAATCTCACAGTTCAATCTCAGGAAACCCCTTCAGATGAACAACTGGTCAGCATCTTCTCCTCTCTCACCACTCCCCTATGCTCCTCCATAACTCCTCCCCCCATTTTCGCTGATGAAAACATCCAGTGCATTTTCGGATTGGATCCTCTGACAGCCTCACTTCTTCCACTTTACCTTTTTTCCCTCTCCTTGATCTTACCCGCCACTTTCACTTCATTGCAGTCAAGCTTCGTGGAAGGAAGATATGGCTCTAATCTCATCACTTCCGATCTCTTGGAGTTCGTAGAAGACACCGCATTCTGAGCTTTCCAGAATCACATGTGATTAACCAGGGGTGTTATTATCGACGAATTTTGCACCGAAACTTTCACATTGTGCTGATTTTTTCCTTTTTTTCTTGTTTTTCTTTTTGTGTGACATATATGTGCTTTAGGGTATGTCATGTGTCCAGTTTTGACATGTTTGGATTTGCATAGCATTGTGTCCGCGTTCGGAGGCAGCACGAACATGTTCGCCCAAACGCGAACTAGCGCCCAGAACCCTCCAAACACGAACATTAAAAAACAAAAGTCTCAAAAAAATCTGGAAAAAATATGTCAAGTAAAACAACATAAGAAAAAAATATATGTTTGCTCAAACACGTTCGCGAGCTGTTCGCGCGAACGCACGAACGTGGAGGGGCGCGAACACGTTCGCCGTGCTACGCAGGTTTGGATCAACAATGGAAAAGTTGGCATTTCGTTGGACACTTCATTTTAACTTAGTTGGCATTTCGTCGAATTCGTTGGATGCTTC